AGATGTCACCTAGCACAGAGATCAGCCCATGCTGTCATTTCCCATCTGGAAATAACCTCAAACCTGCCCTCGGCATTACAGAAATACACTTCTGCATCCAGGCTGGAATGATGCGTATATCAAAGGCATCTAAAAATAGATGCCCCTAAACATCCCAGGAAGCCAAATGATGGTCCCTCTTCGATCATTTCTTTTCAGCTGGGTCTAGGTTTCTCATTAAAGTTTCAATTCTTTGAAAATTTTTATTCCTGGGAAGCAAATGCACGTGTACAGAAGTTTACACCAAGGTATTTTAGGTAGTGCTGGCTGTAACTGGAGCTTCCAGAGACAACATTCCCTAGCTTCTATAATCCACTGTGATATGGTGGCTTTGGATGGGTCTCATCTTAAATGGGGACCGAACAGCCAAATCTGAAAATCTCTCCCAAGGACTGACTCACTCCATAGAATTCAGTGGAAAGAACACTACATCTGACTCAGAGGCCCTGGGCTTGAATCTTCCTGCCTGGCTCCGTGAGACCTTGGGCAAGTGACTGTTCTTCTTTGGGTCTATGTTTTCTCATCTGTAAAATGGAGAGATTGGATCAAATAATCTCTAAGGTCCCTTTCCGCTAAAGCCCTATAATCTCTTTGGTAGAAAGACATATCGAGAATGAAACTTACAGGTCAACTCAGAGGAAAAACAGGTGAAAAACCTGAGGGACCAGTCTAGCCTCCAATGAGGCCCTGACAGGAATACCCATGTCCCTCTATCTGCTATCCTCGAAGTTTTCAGCATGTCTTATCCCAGGTCATGCTGAATGAAGAAGATAAGTGACTTCTTCAAACCAAAGAGCAAAGTACCTTTGACTATATGCCAAAGTCAGCATGATTAATTTTAGTTTGTTCCTCTTCCTAACAGTGCCATGAAATGTCAGAGCTGGAAGGCGTCTGAGAGGTCACTTTGCCCAATTCCCGCATTTTACAGATGGGGAAGGGATTTGTCCATTTTATATATGAAGATATTGGCCAAACCAGAACCCAAATTTTGGCCCTTTATATTACACCAGGAATATTACGGTGCAAATAGTTCTGGAAGGGATAGTACATTCAGTCCCCAATACCTTAGTCTTACTGGGACTTTCAGATGTTTCCCTCATATCAAAGTTCTAGAGCCTAGCAGACTCCAAAGTCAATCAGACACCAAAGTCAATCTCAGCTGGGATCAGAAGTCTAAGAATCACTTTGCAGGCTGAGGAGTGTTCAAATCCTGACTTTAACAATCTACTTGCCTATCTGTTCTCTCTCTAGTTGAGAGGGCCAATGTGATATAGTAGAAAGAACACTGGCTTTGTATCAGGGGACCTGGATTCAGATCCTATTCTGACACCTTGTGACTGCGGGTAGTTCATCTTTAAAACAAAGGTCTGAGACAAGAGAGATGGCCTTTGAGCTCCCTTCCAGCTTGAAATCTATAGACCTATCATCCAGTCCACCTTCTTGTCACTCTGACCTTAGCCAAGCTGCTTAACTTCTCTGGGCCTTAGAATTCACATCTGTAAAATGGGGATGCTACCAGCACAGGAGAGGGCAGCTAGGTGGTGCAGTGGATAGAGTGCCAGTCCTGGAGTAAAGAAGACTCATCTAGCTTCATACACTTATTAGTTGTGTGACTCTGGGCAAGTCACTTAAACCTATTTGCCTCAGTTTCCTCATCTGTAAAATGAGCTGGAGAAGGAAATAGCAAACCACTCCAGTATCTTCGCCAAGAAAATCCCAAATGGGATGACAAGTGTTAGACATGACCGACAATGACTGAACAAAAAAAACCCCAGCCCTTATCCACAAATATCCTATTCTTGTGCCACAACATGGCATGAAGGTGGCCTTAATGATACTGAAGATCAGCTGAGTCCTATTAAGATGGAAAGATAAAAGTAGGAGCTCGGGAACACGCTGTGTATTCTTTTCCAAAGACCAGCCAATTTAAATCTGAGAAGGTTCATCACCAAGTTGGCACCAGTACCACAAATACTTGGGCAACTGTAACTCATAAACCACTGCAGAAGGCCTACTGGAGGGTTGGGGTTCGGTGGCAGAAACATATACAATGACAAACAAAGAACCTGTGGCATTTCGGAGTAATGAGGACCTTGCCACCCTCTCAGGAGAGCTGAGTAAACAGAGCTGAAGAGAGCCTTGGAATCAGGAAGACCTTGGGTCAAATTTATGGGGACATTTACCAGTTGTGTGACCTTGAGCAAATTACGTAAACCTCCTTGGGCCTCAGTTTCCTCATCTGTAAAACGAAGGGGGTGGACTGGATGGGCTCTGATGTTCCTTCCAGTTCTAAACCTATAATCCTATGACTATAAGTCCAGCCTCTATCTGGGGTATGGTGATTCTGAACAAGTCACTTAACTTTCTCAATGTCCCAAGTCAACTCTCTGCTGGTAGAGGGAATTCTCTACACCCCTGAAATTACAGGTTCAGTGAAAAAACAAACAGAAAGGAAATAATGGCTATTGTTATTAGCAGCTTCAATGGGGAATTCTCCAAGTATTTCACTAATATCAGAGTCTTATAAGTATCTTGAAGTCCCAGGTCTAGGGGGAAAAAAAAGAAGCAGAGCCCTCTAGATAACCTGGGTGAGGTTATTTAGCTCATCTCTCTTGCTATTAATCTAGACATAAATTAAAAAAGCTGCCATGACTCCTTCATCTGGAGCAAGCCCATCTCCCTCAAAACGGGGAGGTCACCCCACTAATGCTTCCCCGTAATTTACCCGAGTATTTCTAGCAACAGTCTTACCGACCTCCTCTTCAGGCCACCCTAGTGCTGCCTCAGGTACCTGAAAGACCTCTCGCCCTTCCTTTGCCAACTTGTTCTACCGAGCAAAACCCCGGAAGGACGATAAACTCCTTTCCGAGATCAACGGAGAATCTAAAGCACTCAATAAAAGCAAAAAGAGTGTGACCCTAAGGCTAGGGCCCTGCTGAGCTTCCCAAAGGACTTGGACAAATCTCTTCATTTCTCTGGGCCTCAGGTTCCTTACTCCTAAGCTCACTTCCTAGGGTCCCTGGTTTCTAGCAAAGCTCAGCTCTACAAGAAATCTTTCATGATCATCCTTCCCACCCAACTCCACCCCCACTGCCACCCTAGCCAAATGACAGTGGATTTATTTTGTACATACTCATCTATGTGCGTGTCATCTCCTGAAACAGAATGTAAACTCCCTGAGGGTAAAAACTGCTTCATTTCTGTCTTCAAAGAGCACCTAGCACACAGACGCTTAAGGCCTAAGATGTACCAAGTAATATTAACTAAAAAACTCCCTCCTTCATGAGGAAGCGTAAGTTGGCAGGAAGAGCTCCCACTTGGGAGTCAATCCTAAAGTCCTGCTTCACTGCTTCAGCTGCCAATCTTGGCTATTTTTAACAGAAGAAGAAACCAGAACATCCAGGTTGAAGGGAATAATAATCCCAAATTTCTTCAGTGGGTATAAGGGTAGCACGATAAACAACATGAAGAGAACTTGGCAGGTAAAATGATTAGAACCCAGTTTGATAAATTCCACCTGCTCCAGAGACCCTTTCCTGCCCCACTGCCATAATCCACAGATCCCCTCTCTCCCCCATACCCTCCTAGGAATGGATACATAAGCCTGTGTCTGGAGGATGGATATTCGTCTCTGATTAGAACTCTCGCCAACTGGTGACCAAATACCCGAGTCAGTTTCTTGGACCTAACGCCACCATTTTGCGTCCAGCAAGGGCTCTAGAAACAAACACTGGAGCAAGGATTCCTAACCTGGGGCATGATTGGCTTATCTATGGATTACAGGGAATATCTGGTAAATAACTGTATCATCTCATGGAAATATGCTAGAAAGCCTGAACTGATTTTAATCAATGAAGTTAAAAGATATTTTGGTATACTTTTTTAGGCAAAAAGGGTTAAGTGACTTGCCCAGAGTCACATAGCTAGTAAGTGTCTGAAGCTGGGTTTGAACTCAGGTCCTCCTGATATCAGGGCCAGTGGTCTATCCACTTTACGACCTAGGTGCCCCTCTCTTGGTATACTCTTGAAGAAGAAGAAAGTAATCTATTTTATTTTGCTGCGCATAGGCATGAATTCATATACTTTCACACTGAACAGGGGGTATGGAAAGATTTCCTAAAAATCTAAGGAGTACTGAGAACAAAAAAGACCTCTGCTTTAAAGGTTAGTATGTCTTCTATAAGCATTTATTAAATCACTTTCTACGGAACCATACCTGCAAAGTGACAGGGAAACAAAAAAAGGCAATAACATGATTCCTGCCCTCAAGGAGTTTACAATCAAATGGAAGTGACAACATACAAATACTATGGAGAGAAGAGATATGCAGAATGCACAGAGGGTAAGATTCTAAGGTAGAAGGAGCAGGAGGAAGGATGGTGGGGAGGGATGGAGGATGGAGATAGGAGGCGCTTCCTTCAGAAAGTGGGATCTGGGTTGAATCTTGAAGGAAGCCAGGGAAGTGGGGAGATGAGGGAGGAGAGAAAGCATTCTAGGCCTGGAGGATAGCCAGGGACACCAAGGAGATGTGGGCGTGAGGAACAGTAAGCAGGACAGAGCTGTTGGAGTGTGTGAAGGGGAGGAGAATGTAAGAAGACTGCAAAGGGAGGAAAAGGCCTGGGCAGTCTAAAGGTGAGGCCTTTTATGATGGGAATAATAAAATACAGGGGAAACTACTAGATAGGGTTTTTAAACTAGAGTTTCTTAAAGAGAATGTGAGATCTATAAAACAGATATCAGAAAGGTCTAAAAAGTGTTCTACTCCATCACCACTTCCCACATCACTAAAAATCCACAGACCCCAGGAGATCCCCAGAAAACATCCCAGGTTCTGCTGGACAATACTGCACAGACAAACCCAGGATGAGGTATGAATGTAGATGAAGCTTAAAATTATCCATCAAGCCTGGCAGCCACCAAGAACCGGGGTACCAAACAGGAAAACCACAGGACCCACTCACCTCACCACAGGCTCAGGGATGGCCTCTGTGCCTGCTGGCACCTGCACACCTTTCTCCCACTCCTGCCGCCAGGGATCTGCCAGGATATAGTATTCATCCGGGCTGAGCTGATAAGAGTCCGGGATTTTCATTGCTGTGATCAGGTCTGTCCGGAATACCTGGATGGAGAGGCGGAAAGGAAAACAGCTTGAAACTGAGTCAGGGAGAAGAACTGGGGGATCGTAATCAATCAACCGATAAACATTTATTATGCTCTAATTGTGTACCGGGCACTGTGCTAAGCACTGAGGATACAAAAAAAAAAAAGGGTAAGAATCCCTGCCCTCAAGGAGCTGACAATCTAATTTAAAGTTAGAAGGGACCTTTAGACCATCCAGGCCACCTCCTTCATTTTACAGATGAGAGGGCGCAGAGACTTGCCCACATTTGGTTGGCATATGAGTTAGGATTTGAACACAGGTTCAGTGCCCCATCCACTAAGTGCCTACTATATAGAGACACAAAAATGCACAAAACAAAGTTCAGAAAGAAGCACAAACAGGACAGGTTTGACAACAATGTGTGAAATTTATTCTATGTCTCAAAAAAAACAAAAACAAAAACAAAAACAACCAAGCGGAATGAAATGTTCTCATGCCATAATGTGGTTTCCCTGTTTATCTCTCTTAACCATTTCTTTTTCTATTTTTGTCTTCTCTGATAGCATGGCTGCCACCTCATTTTTGGATTCACCTGAGGTATAATAACATCTGTTCTAGTGCCTCAAAAACATAGAGAAGAGAGAGTACAGGGGTAGTAAAAAGAGAACCAGCTCAGGGCTCAGGGTGAAGAAAACCGAGGTACAAGGCCCACCTCTGCCATGAACTGTGGTCCTGGGCAGCTTCCCAGACCCCCCCCCCCCGCCCTCCTAGGCCACTCTCTCAGACTTTAAGTTGCATCTTATAAGCCTGGATTTTCTCACAAGGAATTCCCTATATTATGAGTCTGGCACTTGAAAAAGGAAAAGAAACAAAAACAAAAAAAAACCAGACAGTACGGTTCCCTTCACAGAGAGAAATCCAAAGATTAAGTGAGACACAGTCCCTGCTGCCTTCTGGGAGCTCATGGAGGGTCAAGGAATTAGAGAAAAAAGAATCACTTCAATACAATAAGAAGCAGCTCAGTGAGTTTTGGTTTTCTGAAGACACTGAGAAATCTGAAACATGCCATTTCCCTGCTTTTTGAAGACAGGGGAAATAAAATCTGTCCAATAAATGAAATAATAAGATGCTTACAGGCATGGAGATACCATGGAATGTTATTACTCCTCCCATCTTGTGGCATTTTTGAAATTCACTATTTTTATTTTTGGGGAAGCCTTAGAAAATATTTTGTATTTTCAAGTGATAATCACCATAAAAGATAAAGTCTGTGTTACACTTGAGAGAATATTGGATTTGTAGTGAGAGGACTTGGGTATGAATCTTGGCTCCACTGCTAGATCAGGGAGTGTGTGACCTTGAGCAAGTCACCCCTCTGGGCCTGTGGGAGAACTCATATCGACTGGGACTCCTGCCAGGGGGGCTAGGCTGATTTTGTCCCTAACAGGGAAGGAAGTTGTCCCTGAGACTTGCTTGGTCTAGCTACCTGTGTCAGCTAGGTAGAGCAGTGGACAGAACACTGGGTTTGAGTCAGGAAGACCTAAGTTCAAATCCAGCCTCAGACACTTACTAGCTGTGTGACCCTGGGCAAATCACTTAACCCTGTTTGCCTCAGTTTCCTCAACTCTAAAATGAGGAAAATAATAGCAGCTGCCTCCCAGGGTTGTTGTGAGGACGAACTGAGATGTCTGTAAAGTGCTTAGCACTGTACCTGGCACATAGTATGAACTTAGTAAATGCCAGTTTCCTTCCTTTCTTCCTCCTGGGGCTTCCTGTACATCCAAAAGGCCAGCCTGTGAGGAGTCAACTCCCCCCAGACTTAGTGGATACGTCACTGGTGTACAACTAACCATACTGTACCCTTATGATCAGACATGTTTCTGGATGGAGACAAGTGGGGTTATGTGTACTCAAAGCAATGCTGTATCCTTGCTAAGTATCCTTTCTACAGTTGAGTAAAACCGTTTTTGGCTAATTGTGAGATGGGCTGTGAGTATCTCCATTTAATTCAATAATGTCAAAACTGAATCACTAGACCAGCCTCAGTAAGGCCTGAACACTGAATACAGATCAGCTGAACAAACTGTGACCTGTGAGTATTTTTCATGTTGCTGTTCAGTTGTTTTAGTTGTGTCTGACTCTTCGTGACCCCATTTGAGGTTTCCTTGGCAAAGATGCTGGAGTGGTTTGTCATTTCCTTCTGCAGATCATTTTACAGATGAGGAAATTGAGGCAAACAGAATTAACAGACTTGCCCAGGGTAATACAACCAGGCAGTGTCTGAGGCTGGATTTAAATTGAGGTCTTCCTGACTCCAGGGCCAGTGCTCTAAACACTGTGCCACCTAGCTTCCTGATCTATGAATATAATGGAATATTATTGTGCAGTAAGAAATAACAAATACAAAGATTTCAGAAAAAGTCAGGAAAATTTGTATGCATAGATGCAATAAAGTAAGCAAAACCAGAAATACAATTTATACCATGACTACAATTGCATAAATGCAAATATCACTAAAAGGAAGCCAAACTCAAGGTGACCGTAAACACCATTAACAAGCCCCAGAGAACAAATAATGAAACGTGTTTCCCTTCATATGGCAGAGAAGCAGAAAAACTACAAATGTGCACAGAATACTGCATATCCTGTCTGATGCAATGCTGTTGTAGGTTTTTTCCTTTTTTTGGTGGTGGTGGGGAAGGAGGCTCAATTACTTTTCTTCGTTACAAGGGAAGGTTCAATTAGGGGGTTGGAGGGGACAGGCATAGCCAGGAATGGCTTCGCTGTTAAAATGAAACAGGAATAAAACAATAAAACAAGTTATCTTCCAGAAGTTTTTACTACAGCTCTCACAACTTAGCATAGTATCCCAGATGTAGTCTAACTGGGGCAGAACAGAGGAGGCTTTTCCCTCCCTTTGTCTCCCACAATGCCCTTCTAAAATGAAGTCCAGGGTCGCATTAATTTGTTTTGGCTGCTATGTCAACTTTCAAGTAAGTCATGGGAATCCCCGCACATTCTTTCACCCAGGCCAGCTACCAGCCAGGACTTTCTGATCCTGTACTTGTAAAGTTGATTTTGTGAACCCAAGTGTAGAATTTTACATTTATCCCCAATAAATTCCACTTTTTTGGAGTCAGCCCACCTCATGACTTTGGTGAGACCTTTTTAGATCTTGTCATCACTAAGTTTGCCAGGCCTCAAAGCTTCAGGTCTTCTGCAAATCTGTCAAGCCTCTGCGGCTTCATCTAAGTTATTAATAAAAATCTTTGCATTACAGGGCTTAAGGACAGCTCCCTGGGGAACTCTACTAGACAACTCCTTCCACACTTACCCCAGCTCTTAATGACTACTTTTGAGTCCAGTCATACAGCCATTACCAAATCATCTGGCTTGCATGTCTTTATCTTGCCGAAATCCAAATATCCTATGTCTATAGCATTCTCCTTACCTAACAGTATAATTTCCTTGGGAAAAAGGGAAAGTGAGTAAGATTGGCATGACCCATACTTGAAATTCAGTCTTAGTTTCTTGATCTCTCCAAGGGGGAGGAAAGTTGGAGGAAGAGCAAGACTAGACAGTCTTTAAAGGTTCTTCCGACTCCAAGACACTGTAATTCTGTCACAAGTTCAGTAAGGAAAAGCTCTCTCGTGTTCATCCTGAAAATTTTTAAATTACCTGTTTAAATGAAGTCTTTACTTTTATCCATTTCCCATTTTTCAGCATGAACAACTTGTTTAAGAAGATTGGATGGGACCGCTGTAATTTGCATGCAGTGCCTGCCTCCCATCTTCACCATTTTTTTTTCCTAATTCGATGTTAATTTTGACCTTTGTGCTAACCAGTTATCTCTGATTTTGAAATGACTCCTACATCTACAGTTAGTTGTTTCTTGCCTGTTAAGATACAGCCCATTTTGAGGAAAGTTCAGAGTTTGCCACTTGCAACTACTTCAGCCTTTTGAAAATAAAAGAGCGAAGAGAACAAAAAGGAAGGCCAAAAGGAATCATAGACATGTGGGACAACCTTGAAAGTTACATGCTGGATTTGTTATATATTTAAGAAGAAAAGCAAACCCTACATAACAAAGATTAATACAATCCTGTATTCTTTCTTGTATGTGGGAATGCTTCTTTTAGTTGATATTTAAGTTTGGAATAAAAAAATTCACCTGCAGTACTTTTTCAATTCTCTTCTTCAGGAACATATTAGCGTTAGGCATCTGAGCAATACAAAAGCCTTTGGTCTTTCATCAATCCCAAACCATGTTTCAATCTTTTAAAAACTGTTACTCCCCCACACCCTTCCACATTGGAGGGACATATCATGAAACAATGTACAAGCTTAGTCTAGGCTCTTATCAGGTTCTTTGTGTATGTCGCCATGTCCCATATTTGCCTCAGTCTTCCACGTGTGTACATGCCTCTTGTAAAGTAGAAAACAAACACTGATTCTGACCTACTGTAAACACCACCAACTTCCCACCCCCAACTCCCCGAAGAAAAAGATGAGGAAAATAGCTATTCTGTGAGTATATATACCTCCTTTTAAAAAGAATTAATAGCAATGATAATAGCTGGTAGTTTTGTAGTCAGTTCCTTAAGCAAGGGTGCCATGGTCTATGCACATCTCAATAGCACCCTACTGGTAGCAGAGAAACACTGATGATGTAGGGTTATTTCTCAATGTCAGAAATCCATGAGATTCCCCAAAGAGTCAATGGGGTCAGGATCTCAAACATGGACGGGACACAGATGGAATGGAAACAACAATGGTTAAATCCTAGCATTACCATTTACTATCTGTGCACTCTTGAGCAAGGCATTCAGCCTCTTGGGAGCCTCAGTTTCCTTACTTATTAATTAAGATGGTGACTATCAAGACCTCAGCAAGTGTTTATTGAGCACCTACGATGGCCCAGACACCGTGCTAAGTCCTAAGGTTACAAAGAAAAGCAAAATCTAGTCTCTTCAAGTCCACAGTCTAAGGTGGAGGGAGGGAGGGAGGGAGGGGAAATA